TCAGTGAAAATAGTAGATGGTTTCCAAACTTTTACTTGTTAGAGCAGAAACCATAAGACCTGGGAATCTAATTTTAAGCAAATTTACTTAACAAAAAAAATCTTGATTTAGAGGACAATGTCTTCCATCATCCAAAGGAGAGTTTTATCATCATCTTATCTTTGCAAACTACAGGTTTTTTTTTCTTCAGCAAGAAAGTTAAAATGATTGGTCACGATTTAATATTTGAAATACAACAATTTAACACATTCAAATCTTTATAATACACTGATTCTATTATTTATTTTTTTAAGATTTATTTATTTCTGTACACAAAAGCTGGGGTACAGGCCAGAGATACAGGTCGGGGGGGAAGAGGAATCACCAGAGACAAAGTGGGGAACAGAACAGGCAGACTGACTGAAATACACTATTATTTTAAGTATAATTATTTTCTTTCAAGTAGTATGCTTACAACTTTTCCAACTGCATGTATTGGAATCAAGAGGGTGATTATGGGCCTCCCTGGTGGCACAGCGGTTGGTTGAGCACAGTCCTGTGAAGCTGTCCACAGCCTCTGCAGTGCAGATTTGATCCTGGCTGGCCTGGGAGATACCCACATGGCACGGCAGACCTCTCCTGTCTCGTCCACTGCTCCCCTCAGCAGTGTATTTCGGTCAGTCTGCCTGTTCTGTTCCCCGCTCTGTCTCTGGTGAATCCTCTCACCCTCCCACACATCTGGCCTGTACCTAAATAAAATAATTCTTTGGGGAAAAAAAAGGGTGATTATGTTAATATTACTATTATCTCTGTATCTCTGTTTCTTCTTTGGTGAGGAAAGTAGTTCAAGTATTTCTTAATTCAGTTATCTTTCCATATGAAAAGTCTAGGAAATAGTCATATTTTGATTTAAAAGTTTGGATAGACACGTTACTGGAGGCTGGAGAAAGTTCTCCAGTCCACTGATGTCCCAGAATACAACCTCAGGTGTTTTTGCCCTTAGACAACAGGTCTGATTGTTCTCTAAGTCACAAGACTCCTTATACAAGCTCCTGTGCCAGTTCTTGCTGGAGATCTACAAGGGTCTGTGTTACTTGGCTAAAGAAATAGGACAAAAGGGCCTCCCCTGTGCGCAGCGGTTGAGCGCTGGGTGGCGGGCGAAGCTGCCTGCAGCCTCCGTGGCTCCGGTTCGTTCCCAGGCTGCTCCCCAGCCACCAGAGGAGACCTCTCCTGCCGCCCCACTGCTCCCCTCAGCAGTGTACTTCGGTCCCTCTGCTTGCTCTGCTCCCCGCTCTGGCTCTGGTGAATTCTCTCACCTTCCCGCACTTCTGACTGTACAGTGCTTGTATAAATAAATAAATCTTAAAAAAATCTATAAATAAATTAAAAAAAAAAGAAACAGGACAAAACTCAGAATTATGAATTTGCTATCTATATTTTAATTCCAGTTGTCAAATTTCTTGGAATTGGATAGCAAATAGTCATACTTGTTTAAAAAAGTTACTCTTCCATATGTGTCAAACTGTACAGCCCAAAACCTGCATGCTGGGATTATATCCTTTCCCTGCAACGTTTTATTAACAAGATCTGTTCTGCAATCCATTCCTCATCTCTGCTGGCAATACTGGGTATTTCCTCACACCTTGCCATTTAATAAATGGGAAGTTTGAAATATCAAGAGGAATATGTAGAACTGCTCACGTTCACTATAAATCAGCAAAGTACAAACTAAACAACCCTGGACTATCACTTTGATACATAAGATCAATAGATATTTGAAGTTTGCTAACAAGTTGTCAGTATATAAGGGCACCAGGAATAGTTCCACAAAAGAGCATAGTAATACTCAGTGAAATTAAGTATGCATATGCCCTGACCCCAAACATCTCTTTCCTGATGTATATCCATTCAAAACTTCCATGTTCATCTAGGGCATATGGGTGAAAGCATTCATCACAGTGATGAATGTGGTAACCAGAAATTGGAGACAACCTAAGTGTCCTTCATCGGTGGAACTGGTTAGCTAAATGGTCTTAGAGAGGGTTCCACATTATATATTTATACCCATCCTAAACATGGGCACATTTCAGTCACATTGCACAGTGCCTTTGTGTGAAGTGGCAGATGGGAGTGAAAATGGACCTTGAAAGGAATAAAAACAAACACATGGACCTCATAGAACTGATGAAGAAAGGGTGTCATCTGGGGAGCTGATTTTAACCATCCAGCTTCTTCTCTTCCTCTAGGTATATGGGTTTGATTTTCCTAAACCTCTTGAAAATACTCCCCTCCCACATTATACATAGGACTTCTGACTTCAGGGTCCCTAAGAGCAGGGATTATGTCAAATACAAAAGGTCACACCCCCTCATCCTCACAGTTATTTATGGATCTTTTTCAATGAAGAAATTTGATTGAGAGGTGCACAAGACGCAGCTGAGTCCTCACAACTACATTTCCCAGAAGTCTCTGGGTGTCTGGGGGTGGAGCACTTTGGGAGGCCAGGGAGGACACTTCCTGTGCTGGTCCTGTGAGTGGCAGGACTAGGCAGCCTGATTCCTGATTGTGGGTCCTAGTGGAACTCGGTGAGTGACTTGTTTATCCTTTGAAACTGGGATTTGATGCTCTTTTATACTCTGTTTTCATGGGTTTTGGGGGGTCTCCAGTTTGCACCAATTATCTGCTGGGATATCTGGTCTCAAACACTGGCCTTTGACACAGAAACATCCTGACCTCTGCTTCTGCATTCCTGGAGCTGGGCTCTTTGTTTTCTGGTTATGGGGGTGGGTATTATGGCTTTGTCCCTGAGGCAGCCTCATGGATTCCCTTATCTATTCAAGTCCAAGAGACTGGCTACTGTACCACACCTGAATTTCAAGTCCTGAGCTTGTTCAAAAGTTTGGAATCCTGTGCTTTCCTGCTGTACAGCACAGTGGAGAAGACTGCAATGCAAATTGTCTGGGGTAAGGTCACGGGGACCCTAACTATGAGGACTTGGGCAGGTCCCTTAGTGTCTCTAAAATGCATTTTCTCCAGCAATAAAATGGAGCTAAAATAGTACTTCCTTAAAAGGGTTTTTGTGAGGATTGAAGTATTTTTTATTTAAAAAGTAAGGTGGGGCCTCCGCTGGTGGCGCAGCGGTTGAGCGCTGGGCTGCGAAGCTGCCCGCAGCCTTTGCAGCACTGGTTCGATCCCCGGCCACAGGTGAGGGTCCCACATGGCGCGCAGACCTCTCCTGTGGCGCCCGCTGCTCCCCTCAGCAGTGTGCTTCGGTCCTGCTGCCTGTTCTGCTCCCCGCTCTGGCTCTAGTGAATTCTCTCATCCACCCGCACTTCTGACCGTACCCAGTCAGAAGCTTGTATAAATAAATAAATCTTTAAAAAATAAAATAAAAAGTAAAGTGTATAATGTGTGTTTGTTGAAACTGGACTTCCTCCTGGAATAATTATAACAGTGATTTCCACTTCCTCATATCTGGATTTGGTTTGTCTGAGGGGCCCAGTTAGTCCTGAGGCAGCAAGTTCCCCACAAGTCCTATTCCTCCTGCTCATGGGAAATTCTCTACTGATCCCCAAAGTGCGGGGAGTCTGGGTTGTCTAGTCTGCACCAGTTATCTGCTGAGATTTCTGGTCTTGAGCGCTGGCCTTTGACACAGAAACGTCCTGACCTCTGCTTCTGCATTTCTGGAGCTGGACAGTTTTTTTTCTGGTTGTGGTGGTGGGTTTTATGGCCTTGTCCCTAGGGCAGCCTTATGGATTCCTTTATCTATTCAAGCTTCCCAAAATTGCCTGCTGGGGAGGGATTAGGGAATTTTTTTCTTTTGACCTTATTAAATTGTACCCAACATTTCCCCCTCTCCCTAGAAGATAATGACTAATCTTTGGAAATGGGGCAAAGGTCTAGCTTCTGTAGCTGTTTCAGGCTGAATTCGGGGGCATAGTGTTGGCCTTACCTAGGTTATTGTCTCAGGAGAGTGGGAATGGGGTGTGAAAGGGCACAAGATGGGCACACTTTGGGCTTTCATACCAGCGTCAATTTTAGGTGCTAAGTGTTGTTCCAAAGAGCTACAGATGGTGCCAGTTGTTCAGAATGGGCTACCCAAGCGTTCAGGTCCATATATACTGCAATTGTTTGTGCCTCTAGGTCTAGATACTCCATAAAATATTCTGTGACCTCAAGATGTAGTTTGGTGATGTGGAAATGAGATGAAACTAAACAAAAAGGTTAGATATACAGGGTTTTAAACTCAACTGGTGGAATTTTTGTAAAAGAGGTTGTAGTCCCCTTCATGCTTTTGGCTTGAGTAGATATTGTGGCTTTCCAGGGAAGATAGGAAGAAACTTTAATTGCCCCATAATAGAGGTGGTGCTATAGCAAGGATGGGGAATATGCGGCAATGTTACATTTTTATAAGCAAACTAACTTGTGTTTGCATTTTCTCTCTCCTTCACACAAACATAGTATGAAAAAGTGGTAGTATTTTTTAATATTCATGGCAGTAGGCCTATTTTTGCATAATGTTAATAGGGAATTTTGTCCCCTTGAACTACAAAATTGGAACTGTGTTTCATTATGTGGCTTTGATTGAAGTTCTTCCAAGAGTTGAATTTGAGCTGAGCCAAGAAGTGGGGAACCTGCTACTTTGCTTGTAGGGTTCCAGAGACCTCCACTGGAAGTGGAGAAACTTGCCTCCAAGGGCAGAACTGGAAAATGTCAGAGAGGAAACCCTGGGAAACTTGAGAAAAGGAAACCTAGGTAGAATCTGGTAAGATTGTGGCCTTGATTCTGTAGCCTTCATGGACTGAATGTGGAGAGCTCACTCTCAACCCATATAGAGTATTTCAACAAAGCCAACTAAATTACTGTTTGTTTATTCTGCCCTGTGACTTTATGCAAAAATAGGTAAAATAGCTTGGAAGTAGATTTAATTTGCAATAGTATTTTGCTCTACTGTTGAATATTAAATCGAATTGGGTTCAAGATGGAGAGAAATTTATTTTAAACAAGTTAAACCAGTTTTAAGATTTTTATCTTGTGAGGATTTTCTATAGCATCCAGAATTTTTTCCTTTTGGGTTGGACTGATGAACTATTTTCCAGAAATGGAGGACTTTGCCACACTGGCCATCCCTGGACAATGCCTAGTGAAAGATTGTTATTTCCTTTGAAAGATGAGCTCCAGAAAGTACTGTCATCTGAGACTGCATCCTGCATCCTAGTATCCACATATTTGACCTTCATCATCATGGAAATGTTGACAAAAATTGAAATGTGGAAACTGTTGGGGGAAGAGTATGTCCTGAACGAAATCCACTGATGTTTTATGGGCTCCATAAAACATCCCCCACCTCCATGACAAGAAGATCTCAGGCACCGAGGATTGCAACTCCCATCTGTCATGAGTCATGGTTCTATCATGACTCCTGACTTCTTGAAAGGGGGATTGTTGGACACTAAGGGTGGAGTTAAACAGCCAGGCTTGTTATATAAGCACAGACATGGGCCTGCGCTCTTCGTTGCCTGCCTTCAGAGTGCTCTCAGGGTCCCAGCGCCGACTGCTTTACTGGTAGGATACATTCACCAATTAATCCTCTCTCTCTCTCTCTGTCTCCCTTTGGGTTCCCCCTATTTCCATTTCCCTTTGTAAATAACTTTTGTTTTGTACTAACCTTTATTGACTGTGCCTGCAGTTGGGTCTTGTTCAAAGTTTTTTAAGTGTGTGAGTGAGAACTCACACTCAGGCCATCCAATTCCCTTTTGGGGTTGCCCTGTAACAGCTGGGCACCGGCCCTGGCAGCCACCATATAGTGGGCCTTTCTCTTGTCTTTCTCCTCTCTTTTCTTTCAGCCTGGCTGGTCTCCTCACTTGAAGGCTGTGTCAAAAATTATGGGGTGAGAAACTGAGACCCTTGTTCCAGTCTCTGGAGCTTGTGCCAGATGTCATGGCAAGACGACTAATGAAGTGGACTGCTAGGATGGCTTGTCTTTCTATAATCTCTGGGTCCAGATTAATGTACTTTTTCATGAACTCAGCAAGTCTAGCCTGGAATAATGCAGGATTCTGGGCTCTTGAGTAATCTCCCTCAGTTTGTCACAGTTGAAGGGCTCAACAATTGCCTTCCGCATATCCTGAAGGAGGCAGGTTCCTGCTTCTAACACCAGGGTCTTGGAATTAGCAACTCCACTGGTAGTCAGTATTAGGGGCTGTCGACCAGAATATATTAGATTTTAAGAAGTCTTATGTAGTTTAGACTACTCCTATTCGTTTACATCTATGCTGCAATGGTTAACCATTTTTCTGTAACAATGCTTCCTATGAGGTTTCAATATATTATATTAAAATATTTAATATCCAGGAAGTTGTCTGTAAAATTACAGATTTTTATAGAAAATTACAGATTTTTATAAATTTTTTATAAATTTTTATAAAATTTTTATAAAATTTTTATAAAAAATTACAGATTTTTATAGAAAAGTTAATTACCCAGAGTGACAAAGACTATTAAGAGCAGATCTATTTCTTTGAAAAAGCTCAGCAATGCTGGTAGTGTAACAGGGTGGTCCCCAGGAAAGGGGAAGGTTCCAGGTTCCCTGCCCCACTCAAGTGGAGGGTGGAGCTGAGCAGGGAGAGAAGAAGCTGCAGAGGAGACTGAGGAAGGAAGCAGGATGGAGCCAGAAGGAGACCTGGAGGAGGTGCATGGAGCCTAGAGACATGTGAAAAAACTGTGCTTGCCTTTTGGTTGTGGACTGGGTGACACAGATGTGGGTGAGACCCGTGGGGAGGTGACAATGGCAGCTTTTATCTTGATTTTGATTTTGCTCTTTTCCTTCCGGGCTTGTCTGGTTGTTTCTGTGGGTCCTTTTCTGTGGGTCCCCACTGGAAGATGCTTTAGACTTGTGGCAGGCTTTGGGGCCTTGCTCTGGGCCTCAACCATTTGGAAGGAGTTTTACCCACGAGGGGACGGGTAACTTTGGGTGCTTGATTTAGAAACTAGATTCTTTGCCTTTTCTGTATTGTTTCCTAATTGTATTAAAGTTCCTTCCCATTAAAGTCTCATGTTTTGTGTTAATGCAGCGGATGGCAGAACCCATTTAAAATAGGCAGTTTTGTGGGGATTGGCAGCCCCTCTCGCTGCCTGTAACAGTAGGATAATCAGTTAACCAAGCCTAAGGGAAAGAGCACCAAGATTTTCAGATTACCTTAACAGTCTTTAATCTGTTTTGGAAAGCTACTAATAGCAGTTTTAGTCCTCTTTGCACATGAAAAAGAAATTAAAATTTGGTTTCATATAAGAACACTACTGACATTAAACTTAAATATTCTTATAGCAAGTCATTTGAGCACATAAAATTTCTTTTCTAAGATACCTCTCTCAGATTTTCAACCCTTTCTTTTGCTTTCCTATTTTTTACAGCATTTCATTTCTAAGATAAGCATTTCATTTTGACTATATTCTTCCCAAGACCTTCAAAATATCCATTCCCAATACATTCTTTCCTTTTTAAATATACACTTTACTTGCATTTAGAATTGTTATATCTTAGTTTTTAATTTCTAGATTGTAAGATATTGTAGTAGTTATACTATCATTGCTTTACACTGTATGACTTACACATAAACAGGTGCTTTAATTTTATTCTAGGTGATATGACATTAAAACTTTAGTTTCCTTACAATAGGAAGCAAAAAGTAAACCTGAAAGCTCAGTCATTTTTAGATGACATAATTGTAGATATTTAAGAAATTTTCATTATTAAACTTAGTAAAACCTTAGTATTACAAGAGATTTGGGCTACCATTTAAATAATGATAAAAAGGAACAGATTTAAGATGGATATACCAGTTGTAGCTTTAGTTTCTCTTAGGACTGGAATTCCAAATTAATTTTAGGGTTGTAAGTGGAATAACCCTATACACCAAGGTTTTATTTAGGCTAGTGAATAAATAAGCATTAGATAGAGTGAGAAAAACAAGAAAAATCAGAGAGGCTTAATATCATGTACATTTTCTGAATATATGTGAGTCTCAGTACAGCTGAGTAACTTGTCCATGTGGTTTTAGATGCCATTTTGAATTCCTTAGTTAAGACAAGGGAAGAAAGAAGTCAGTCAACACATTTAGTAGGGGAGCAAAAGTATTTCTCCTTCAAGGGAGGGATAATTGGGTTAGTCTTCCTAGAAAAGTTCTTTATCAAGAGAAGCTGAGGTAAAAATCGTTAAAAGCAAATTTATTTTTGTTTTTTCTTAAAGTTTCGTTTATGCATACAAGAAAACTGGGGTACAGGCCAGAGGTGTTGAGGGGGGAGAGGATTCACCAGAGACAGAGTGGGGAACAGAACAGGAGGATTTGACTGAAATACACTGCTGAGAGGAGCAGCAGGTGAGTCAGGAGAGGTCTGCTGTGCCATGTGGGTGGCTCCCTGGCTGGGGATGTGCTACTGTGGCTGTGGATAGCTTCATAGTGCTGCCTCTTAACCCCTTGTGCCACCTGGGAGGCCCCTCCCACCAATTTATCTTTGTTAACATAGACCAGGTGAATTGCTGTTTCTTGCTGAGTGCCTTGTGCTTTCTCTTTAAGTAAAACATTTAAATATAGAATAAAAGTGTTAGCACCCAACATTACAAATTTAAGGCATGAATGTTTCAAACTAAACCATTAAATTTTGAACTAGCTCTTGTTCACCAAAATTCTAGATTCTGATCTCAAAATTTGTTTTTTTTTTCTATTAGAATTTAGAATTTATATCAGCACTGTTTCTAATTAATCTCTGAAGGCAAAAGAAGATGACAGACAAAGATCTCTTGATTTTCATTTGAAATTTTGGCCATATGTATTAATTTTAAGAAATAGATATTTTCCAAGTATTTGTGAAGGCACTGAGAACTTTTATTCATTTTGTTTTTAAGTAGTTTTTACTAACTCCTTCAGATACGACAACTTCCCTTAACTTTGTATTTCTAAGACATGATCCCTTGACTTTACATTGTTTCTGCTCTACCTCACCTGAGACCAAAGATGTTTCTAAAACAAAAGAACAATTTCTTTAGGGACTATGCGGAGGATAGGAGAAAAGATAGACTAAGTCTTACTTTGCAGCTTACCAGTTTCTAGACTCTTATCAGAAATCTGAAGTTTGGAATGTAGCTCACAGAAAGCTGCATTTTCATTCTATAATTCTCTTTTGTCCAATTAATTTTAATAAGAAACTTAGATTTTAAAGAATCTCTAAATTTTATAGGCCTAATACGCAATTCAGAAGTTTTTTCTTAAACTGAGTCTGAAATTGACCTTTTTCAGACTAGAAAACACAGGGAAATAGAATTTTCTTCCTGTGGAACAGATCAGAATAGTATCTCAAGGTGGACAAAAGGAGAGATCAGTTCCCCTCACATCTGGAAGGCAGCAGAGTCATATCAATGATCTTAGCACTGGAGCAAAGGTGCAAGCAGCTGCTTGCTGAGAAGCAGCCCACCAGCCAGCTGCAGTGGTGTCCCTCACCTTGGTTCCCAGCATTCTACATTTTGCCTCTGCTGTGACAAAAAAAGGTGTAGCTGGAGAATGGTGTGATAGCTGAGGCTGCTGTCTATAGGCCATATCTGGTCCTCTCATTTGTACTGGGGGCAGGCAGGATTGCAAAGAAAGATTAAGTGTCTCTTCTTTAGAGTCTGGGTCAGATTTGCTCCAGATTTTAGGAGCGTAGCTTAAGGGCAAGTTCCAGGTTGCTGAGGTAGAATGTCCCATGATCTCTGCAGCAACAAAGGGAGAGTATCCGCAATAAACCAATCACAAAGAGGAAGCAGGGGCATCCCTGCTGCTAGGTCAGAGGGCTCCCACTAGCAAAAGTACTAAATGGATAACCATAGATATGGTTTGGGGACTTTGCTCCAGGGAACTAGGGGTCATTCTGCAGATGCCCTACAATCCAGAAGGGACAGTTCCTCCCAGGAACTAGGGTATCAAGTAATCTTTATGCTGAACTGGGATAGCTGCCCAGCCCAGGACACCCACTCATGGCCTCCTGATCAGCTATATGCAGAGCCAGCCTGAGTGACTCACTGATTGTCAAGGAGAAGTTCATGAACTAGGGTTGCCCGGTGGGGCAAGAAAACTCAAACACTGGTCACACAGGGAAAGGCAGAGGAGGAAAGTGAAAGCACCTGCCATCCCAGCTATGGCAGACTGCCCATCTCATGGGGACCTTGCAGGGACACATGCCCAAGCCGTGATGACAGCCAACAGATCTAAAGGGTTTCATTTACTTTAGACAAGGAATGCCCTCTTGAATTCCCTTCAGGCTTCTGCCTTCCCTAGTTCATTAAATTGGTTCCTTCCTGTCTTGACATTTCAGTAATTTAACCAGAATATGTTCTAGAGATAAGCATGCTTGATCAGATTTTTCTAGAATCTGATCTCTTTGATCTTTAGATTAAATTTTTGCTTCTAACCCGTGGAGGCATTTGATGAGTTACTACTTCTGAGTTATATTCAGCATCAAGCTCAAATATTGGTTCACTACAACATCTATCTTGTTGATTCAGGCCATCTGCTTCAACCCTTTTTAATTTGATCACATCACATGCATAACCAAATTATTCATTTTATTCAATTATAATCTTGAACTAATTTTAATATACAACATGATGTATGGCATGTCAGGTTGAAGTTATAAACATCTGAGTTTAAACACTCAAATGATTGGAAATCTTGGGATATGATTTCACGCCCTTTTGTCCTACTTTCCTCATTTTAAAATAAGTCAATATCTACCTTAATGATTAAATAAAAGTATAGATATAGAATTCTCAAGTAGTAAGTATTCAAAAAATAGTAATTATTATATCTAATCTTTTGTTTACAATTATATTTTATTCCAAATGAATTATAACATTTTAGAGGAAAAGTAATCAATACAAATTGTAGTTATATATTAGGAAAACTTCTAGCATTGAGAGAGAAATGGGGATCAAAAATTATAAATAAATATATAACAACTCTATTTGGAAAACCAAAACAGTCAGTGAATACGGTAAGCAAGTCTGCTTTTCCTTATCACTTACTTACAAGGTTGCATTCCAAGAGGAGGGAGCAGGGTGGCAGGACCATCCAGGCCTTTCAGCCCCTTCCCCTTCTTTGATGTTTTCCCCTTGTTGCTCATCCTCCAGCTTCATGACCTTCTAACTCAAGTTGTAAACTACCCATACAACCTATGTGAAATTAACCAAGTATAAAAAGAAGCTTTTTGTATACTCAGGGCCCAGATTGTATTTGGAGACCTTTCCAGTCTGGTGCCTACTGGTGTGATAATCACTAAACCTGTACCTGCTTGACCTTAGAGTGCCAATTGGTCCTTTCCAGCCTGGCAAACAGTTTCCCATAACATATTAAGTTACATAGAAAAAGACTAGAAAAAAATGCACAAGATGTTTGATGGTTATTTTTTGTGAGTGGTGGTGAGATTAGGAGAAATTTTCACTTCAAACACCTCTGAATTTTTCTCACATATCATAGAGGGCTTTCAATATAATTTTGAATATTCAGTAGTTTAACCAGAATGCATTCCAATGGTGAACATTCTGAATGAAAGGTTACCAGAATTTGGCTCTCCTGATTTACAATTTAAATTTTTGCTTCATTTCAGGAAAATGACTCTTAATTCTTTTTATTCACTTCCTATTTCACTTTTTGGGTTATCTTTCCAAAAGAGCCAATCTCTCTATAATGGATTATTTTGACTTCTATTTATGTTTAATGGTTTCTCTCCAAATGTCTAATGGTTTTATCTTTTCATTATTTTTTCTGAGTGCCAAGCTTTTCTAATATCTAAGTTTATGCTCTTTGTTGTCTTTTTTCTGTTGATGATTAATTATACACTAGCTCTGCTTTTACTATTTATTTTGTTTATATATGAAATCTTTCTGTCCATAATACTATGCAATTTTTTGTCTCATAATGAACTCTTTTCTGAGTTCATGTTAAATATTCTATAGCTCCAAGTACCTGTGATAATTTCTTTCAATTTTTTCAGTATATTTTTTACCTGAACAGTTTGTCTTCCCCCCCCCTTTGTATGCTGTATCCTTTTCTTCTTATTCTTGTATTATAATATATTTGCGTACTCTGATTTCTTAACATTCAAGCTTGTGAAATTATGCCTCCAATTTTTACTCATTTTTTGTATGTAATGTTGCTGGTAAGATACCTAAGGCAAGTGCTTCAAGGGGAGGTGAGTTAGTTACAAGAAATTCAAAGGCTGATTTTCTGTTTCTGGACTTGGGAGGTCTCTTTTTCTTCTAGGTGACAACTATATTCAGGGCCTTGTCTTATTTATCGGTCCCCAAATATTGCCAATTATAATTCTCACTTAGAGGGAGATAAGGTGCTTTCACTATATTTGGTTTTTGTTGTGTGTGGGAAGTGGATCATGAACATTCATGCCTCTTTGCTGATCCCAAGGCAACTACTCACTGGTTGGCTGCTTTTGCGCCCTCTCCTGCAACCAGCAAGCCACTCCCAAGACCAGTCATCCATTCTGCTCTCTCCTTTATCAATGCAAATCACCACTTTACCCCACTCCCCTCTGTTTTGGATATTTAAAGATTCTTGTATTTTGGTCCATCAAGAACTATCCTTCTTGTTTCAAGGAAGGAAGAGTATGATAAATTCTTAACTATTATTTTTTAGAGTTTGGGCCAAGAAAAGAAATACTCTGAATCTTCTGAATTAGAATTGAAAATTATGTTCTGTCTAACTTTGCTAGAAAGAGATAGCGTGCCCTTCTGAGATCTTAGTGTGCTCCCTAAGTGTGTTCACTGCTTCCCTTTAGTCTTTGCTCTTGAACTCATGATCAGGTCCTCAGGAAGGAGTCTCTCAGGGCACAGCTGAGCTATAAAGCCAGTATATAAACTTCATAGTGTTTTCAGTCCGTTATATGTTCTGATATCCCAAGAATTTTACCTTAATTATGTTTTCAGTAGAACACAATCCATTATATTGAGTAATAAATATTCAAATATATTTTGATTATAACATTATTTGAATAAAAACCCCTATCAAACCTGGCTTCTGTGGAATTTTTGGCTCACCATAAGAGAAAGTCAAGAGATAATTTAAGACTTGATTCATGTCTTTTCTCTCCGCCCTTCTTTTTATTCCTTATCTTCATTGATTCCTTATTGATATTATTCTTCAGTAAGTTCTTCCAGTAACTTTGTGCAAATATCCTACCAGCTGCAAGAGAAGCAGTTTGGTTTTGACAAAAGTCCCTCAATAAAATCTCATTGACCTAAATTGGATCACTTGCAATCCATGAACAAAGCATTAACCTAGAGCACATGTGCACTGAGTTGTTCTCACCTGTTCATTCAGCTCAATATGTCACCCATGTTCACTGCAGCATTATTCTCAATAGTCAAGATATAAAAACTTTTCTATGTGTCCACCGATAATTATATCATTATAATTAAACATACATTTATAATGATACACAAATCATTAAACAATTATTATTACATGTATATAAACTCAGTCATGAATGATGGAAACCCTGTCTTTAACAACAACATGGGTGAAGTTTGATGGTCTTAGGCTAAGTGAAGTAAGTCAGATATTTATGTTCTCATTTACATGTGGAATCTTCAAAATAAGCCAAACTCATAAAAATAGAGTGATGGTGATTGCCATGATGGGAAAATGGGGAGATGTTGGTTAAAGAGTTCAAATTTCCAACTGGAAGGTAAGTTTGAATATAATCACCACAAACATCAAACTGTAAAATTGTGAGGGAGTGGACGTGTTCACTAACTTTAATATAGTAATTATTTTGCCATATATACATATATCTATGTATAGTGTGGATATGTTTATCTATACTATACACCTTAAATTTATATGATATATATTAATAATATGAAAATAAAGTTGGAAAAATTAATAATAAATTTTTAATATTTTCAAGGAATTATAAGTTATTTATAACCACTGTGTGTCTTTATATATTGAAAATGCATTCAGTAGTAATTGATCTACTCAAAGAAATTCAAGGACAAAAGTCACACTATTTGTTTTTGTTTTGCTTCCCATGCCTTAGGGAATCATGGACATTGAAGCATATTTTGAAAGAATTGGTTATAAGAACTCCAGGAACAAATTGGACTTGGAAACATTGACTGACATTTTTCAGCACCAGATCCGAGCCATTCCCTTTGAGAACCTAGGTATCCATTGTGGAGAAGCCATGGAATTGGGCTTGGAGGCCACTTTTGATCAAGTTGTGAGGAAGAATCGGGGTGGGTGGTGTCTCCAGGTGAATCATCTTCTCTATTGGGTGCTGACCACAATTGGTTTTGAGACCACAATATTAGGAGGGTTTGTTTACAACGTTTCAGGCAACAAATACAGCACTGGCATGCTTCATCTCCTCCTGAAAGTGACCATTGATGGCAGGAATTACATCATTGATGCTGGATTTGGAAGTTCTTACCAGATGTGGCAGCCTCTGGAATTAATTTCTGGGAAGGACCAGCCTCAGGTGCCTTGTATCTTTCGCTTGACAGAAGAGAACGGAATCTGGTACCTGGACCAAATCAGAAGAGAGCAGTACATTCCAAACCAAGAATTTCTTAATTCTGATCACTTGGAAAAGAGCAAACACCGAAAAATCTATTCCTTTACTCTTGAACCGAGAACAATTGAAGATTTTGAGCCTGCAAATATTTTCCTGCAAACACATACAGCATCTGAGTTTTTAAAGGAGTCATTTTGTTCCTTGCAGACCCTTGATGGGGTTTACTGCTTATTGGGGTTTACTCTAGCCTATAGGAAATTCAATTATAGGGACAATATGGATCTGGTAGAATTTAAGACACTGAATGAGGAAGAAATAGAAGAAAAGCTGAAAAATATATTTAATATTTCCTTGGAGAGAAAGTTTGTGCCCAAACAAATTCATCAATATTTTACTATTTAAAAAAACAAAAGCGTCAGTATTCTTTCAGATACTGAAACTCTTAAAATGGAAAACATCAAACAGTTTCAAACCCAAGAAGAATACAACAATGAGCTCCTATGTTTTCATGACCTAATTCATAATTAGGTGAAGATTATTCTAAAGAAAATTAGAAAAGGGGGTGGGAAGAGCACAAGGAACTATGGTGATGATGCACGAGTGAATTGGTGGTGGGAATTTCATGGGAAATCATACATTGTACAAAAATGAAGGATGATGTAATAAATATATATATATATATATAAATATTTTATCCTAGAAAATTAAATCTGCATGTAATAAAGATGGACCCATTTTTCTGTCAAAAAAAGAAAATTAGAAAAGATTAAAAATGAAATAATTCCAACATCAAAAAATTTCACCTATAAATATTTCAGTATATATTAATCAATGAAAACTTTCTTTAGAAAGCATAATCATAACCTTATCAAAATTAAAAATAGTAAGGACATTTTAAGGATGTTTTGGTGTTTTATAGGGCTCTTGCTCATTTATATTAGAAAGCTTTCAACACTGGGTGAATGTTGAATTAATAGAAAATGTTTAGTGGTTTCTTAATAAAACATGGAGCAAATCACTCCATTAAACTCAACTAGCACTTAATCTGTGTCTAATTTTTACAAAATACTGGAGGAAAAGTTTGTGACTGGAATTCAACAAATAAGAATAAGATACGATACTTGCTTCTAAATAACCTCATGGAACACAGGAAGAAACTCTAATCAATACAATGTAATATATAAGACTTTCTTTTGCACACATAAGACTTTTTTCTAAATACCTCTGATTTCATAAGACTTAAAACTTAAATCATCTTCCTAAAATAGTATAAGATGATGATTTTTAACCAATGCATTGTCATTGGGACATTCCATTGTTATAAACAGTCATTGCAAAGGTTAAATAACATCTGTCTTTTCACTTTATAAAGTACATGGCTGTGTTCTGCTCCTCACTCTGTTTCTGGTGAATCCTCTTAACCCTCCTGCACGTCTGGCCTATACCCCAGCTCCTCTATGCATAAGTATATAAATCTTTAAAAAAATAAAAAATAAATAAATAAATAAAGTACATGGCTGTAACTACATTCCTCTGAGCTTCTTTTCTACTTTCAGTTTGAGGCCTCCCAGTTTGCAGACACTTTTTTTATATGCCCTGTAAATTCTTGAAATTTTTTTATTTCAAGTTATTTTATTTTTGGCAGTGCCAACAGCAACAGCTAATTTTTTTTCACATATTTTTTATTTACATTTTAGCCTAGAGCATCTCTCTTGTCAGTACTGAATGTGAGACCTATTCAGCAGTGGCAAAGGTTCAACTCAGAAAGGGTTAATGACCAGAAAGTTAATGACCAAGAAAACCTTCTTGGGCCAGAGTGGAATGTACGGTAACAGAAAAGTGGGAGAGGATTGGCCAAGTTGATAAACTGGCTAACTCCCTTTCCGTCCCTGCTTTGCTGCCTATGTCCCTAACTCTTAGCTCTGACTAAACAGCTCACTGAATACTTGCATTTGATACTGAACACCAGCCTCAGTTTCCCTCGGCCAATAAAAGGAAACAGAGTTTGACAAATTAAAGTGGTTTATTTTGTTGACAAATGAGGAGTGCAACAGACCCACGTCTGAAAGACAACTGTCCTGCTCTTTGGCAGAGTGCAGGGGTATTTATACAAAGGAAAAAAAGGGGGAAGATGTGCAAGCGTCTGCAAAGGGGAAGGGCTCGGTACAGAGACGGGTGGGCACCAGCTTGCTTTTTTCAACAACTGCTATTTAACTCCCCTTTCCTTGGAATGCAAGAAGACAGACCAGTCAAACAAGGGGGAAACTGCAAGAAATATGGGGAAGACAAACTTGTTAATGCTTATGTGAGAGACGGGTCATAAAGAAGGCAAACCTGTCAAATAAGGGGGACACTGCAAGAGATGGGGGAGGACAAACGTGTTAATTATTATCTGAGAGACCAGTCATCTGTAACTGCATCACATATAACCCTTTGTCTAGGGCTACAATTTCTGGAGAAATCCTAGTATTTGAGTGGCAGTTAGTGTTGTGGAATGAATGAGGCCACCCAGGGGGAAATGTGTCACTGGAGAAGAGAATGTGTCCTAAGAGTAGGGCACTACAGCCCTTAGAAGTGAAAGAAAGCAAACCCAGAACAGGAGTCAGAAGAAGCAGCTAATGAATTAGGCAGAAAGAGAGTCAGGGAACATGGAAGACAAGCCAAAAATATGATTCAAGAAGTAGAAGTAGGAAAGAACCAATTTTTTAAATATATATATTAATTTTTTATTTTTTTACATCATTGTTCTTTTTTAAACAATACTTGCTTGCCCCACCCCCTCAGGTGTAGTCCCCATAGAGTTTCCTTCACCAATGCACCTGTGCACCATCACCTCAGTCCCCTGTGCTCCTCCCTCTGTCCCTCTGATCCCTCTCCCTCCTCCTCCCCTGCAGGATGTCTCTGATTTATAATTGTCCGTCTTTGCTTTGTTTTGTCTTGTACTGTTATTTTTTTTTTACACTGATGTCCTATTTGGTTCCCCTATATTCCTGCTGTAAGTGAAACCATCCGATATTTTTCTTTTTCCTTCTGGCTTATTTCACTGAGCATAATTCCTTCTAACTCCATCCACGTTGCTGCGAATGACATGTGTTTATCTTTTTTGATTGCTGAATAATATTCCATTGTGTACATATGCCACATCTTCTTGATCCAGTCATCTATTTTTGGGCATTTGGGTGGTTTCCAGGTTTTGCCTATTGTAAATAGTGCTGCAGTAAACACAGGGGTGCAGTTATTCTTTTGAATCAATGTTTCTGTGTCCTTTGGGTAGATCCCTAGTAGTGGAATTGCTGGGTCGTATGGTAGCTCCATTTTCAGTAGACTGAGGAAACTCCAGACAGCTAGGAAAGAACCAATTGTTATACCAGAACAAGTGTGAACCAGGACTGTTCTGACACACCAGCACAACCAATGTTTTACTCATCTTACCTCCTTAAAAGAGTATGTTTTCCACAAATGCTTCTTGAAAAACAGCAGGTCAAATGAAAGGGTATCATCAATAGGTCCACAGCCTGGATCAGATGGTATCTAGGACTTTGGACCACAAAAGTACACACTTCTCAATCTTCCCAAGAGCTCAGTTGAGAACAGAGATTTGGATTCAGCCTTGTTCAATGATTACAGTCAGAAAGGAACCTGGTATTTTTCAGGAGACCTGGAAATCTGCTAGCTCTGAGGGCAGCGAACATCAAGCAGTTAAGAACTTTGTTTCTCGAGATGTTATTCACATCGCTGTACTCTTATTTGTAAAATCTTTATACACACATAGTGGGAAATATGTACGAAATATATTGCTCTATGTTAATTATATCAATAAAGAAAGAAGTTGTGTATTTGGAAAAAAAAAACAAAACATGGCTGAGGAGTCCAACTGTGTGAAGTATGGGCCGAGTTCTACCACTTACCAATTATGTGCTCATGAGCAAATTAGGAACCACTCTGGGCCTCAATTTGTATATGATGTGGGAAGAAGAAGAATACTTCCCTTATAATCATTAACAAGGATTTAATGACATAAGCAAAATATAGTGCTGTGAACAGAAAAACATACAAAACCCACTCCATATGTGTTAACTATAATTACTGTTGCTGTTGCTGTTATACTCAGTTTAAAATGTGCCTCTTATTATACAATTGAACACTAGATTCTGGAGTGTCCAGTGACCAGCTAGGTCTCCTAAAGTGGCCCTGTAGTTTAAGAGGCATATAGTCATAATTCTAAATCAGCTGCTTAACTATGGAAGATAATAAATAAAAATTCTCTAGAGGAGTATTTTGAGATATTCCTCAACAGATGTATATTAAATATACAAGAGTGGGCTCCTTACTAACACCATGCTATTTAATTCCCAAATGGAGATTTGAAGAGTCAATAGGCATATGAAGACCTGCTCAAATTTACTTTTCTGATTATTGTCAGAGAAGTTCAAACTATAGCAACTCTGAGCTGTCACCTGGACACATCAGATCAAGAGTCATTTGAAAGTTTCTTATATAAAGAGTCAATTGGGTTATAAAGATCACAGGAATCTTTTTACAGAAGAGGATGTAACCTTAATGAAATCCTCCATGAAATCAATGATCATATGCTCTGTCTCCCAAAACATCTCATTTCTGATAGAAATCCATGCAAAGTTCTCATGTTCATTGGCAGGTACCTGTAGGAAAGCATTTATCATAATAGTGTTTGTCGTAACCAGGTGTTGGAGACAGCATCAGTGTCCTTCATGAGTGGGACTAGGTAGTCTTAGGTTGGGTTCTCCTAAAACTTGATGCTGAGGGGAAGATTGCATTCAGTAGCTTATTTGGGACGTGAGTAAAGGAAGTACCAATATGCAATTAGGAAAGGGAGATGGCCCAGTTTGAGAGTCAATAAAGGGGGCATTAGTGTGGCAGGTTATCTCTCTGGATAAAGGGCACTTAATACCAGGGGAGAACATGGGGCAGCAGTGCTGCCTATGTTCCCAGAGTAATCCATGTGAGTGGGTAGAATATGAGGGGATTTATCCTCCAGTACCAATCATGCTATGCTTAGTGGTGTCACCACATTAAGTTGCAGTTCCATCCAGCCTCCCTAACAGAGACCCAGAAAAAGCCTTCAGGTTAAGAATCCCAAATTAGTGCAGTAGGACCTGAGAGGCATTATTGATCAGAACAATTATTGCAAAGGGAGAACTAAAGGTAAACATTGTGTCATTAAAGTAGTTTTAAAAACATAGTGTAGAGGAAAAGGCATAGGAAATGGCAAGATTTACAGACCAATATCATTAATGTATATTAAAGACACAAGTACAAACAAAGAACATTCTATATTATACCCAACCTAAACATGGGCACATTTCAGTCACATTGCACAGTGCCTTTGGGTGAAGTGGCAGACGGGATTGGAAATGGAGCTTGAAAGGAATAAAAACAAACACATGGACCTCATAGAATTGATGAAGAAAGGGTGTCATCTGGGGAGCTGATTTTAACCATCCAGCTTCCTCTCCTCCTCTAGGTATATGGGTCTGATTTTCCTAAACCTCTTGAAAATACTCCCCTCCCACATTATACATACGACTTCTGACTTCAGGGTCCCTAAGAGCAGGGATTATGTCAAATACAAAAGGTCACACCCCCTCATCCTCACAGTTATTTATGGATATTTTTCAATGAAGAAATTTGAGAGGTGCACAAGACGCAGCTGAGACCTCACAACTACATTTCCCAGAAGTCTCTGGGTGTCTGGGGGTGGAGCACTTTGGGAGGCCAGGGAGGACACTTCCTGTGCTGGTCCTGTGAGTGGCAGGACTAGGCAACCTGGTTCCTGGTATTGGGTCCTAGTGGAACTCGGTGAGTGACTTGTTTATCCTTTGAAACTGGGGCTTAATGTGAGTCCAAGAGACTGGCTACTGTACCACACCTGAATTTCAAGTCCTGAGCTTGTTCAAAAGTTTGGAATCCTGTGCTTTCCTACTGTACAGCACAGTGGAGAAGACTGCAATGCAAATTGTCTGGGGTAAGGTCACGGGGACCCTAAGGACCTTAGGGTCCTTGGCAGGTCCCTTAGTGTCTCTAAAATGCATTTTCTCCAGCAATAAAATGGAGCTAAAATAGTGCTTCCTTAAAAGGGTTGTTGTGAAGATTAAAGAAGCATATTTAAAAAGTAAAGTGTATAATGTGTGTTTGTTGAAACTGGATTTCCTTCTGGAATAATTATAACAGCGATTTCCACTTCCTCTGATCTGGATTGGGTGTGTCTGAGGGACCCAGTTAGTACTGAGGCAGCAAATTCACCGCAAGTCCTATTCCTCCTGCTCATGGGAAATTCTCTACTGATCCCCAAAGTGCAGGGACGCTGGGCTGTTTGGTGGGCAAGGATTAAAGGGATACAATGGTATTGGCAGGAGACTAGCGGGCAAAGTCTCCAGGAATCATAAACAAGAGTCAGCACCATCACTTGAGGCAGATTGAGGGTAACTCGCCGAGCACAGCTGTGCAGAATCCAGAGAGAGGAGACTGCCTAGGAGGAGGGCCCTGAAGCCGGGGGCCTTGTGGCAGCTCCGTTCTGGGTGTGGCTCCCAGTTCTGCATGGTGGCCACATATAACCCGCCTGCTGGCTCCTTCTTCATAAACTGCTCTTTTCCTTCGGAGGACCCTCATTTTGGTTTCTCAGTCACAAAACATCTGACCCCTCCCTCTCACACTCAACAGGAAGTTGCTAGCTGTCAACTATTTAGCTGCATGCTGTCCAGAAATTTATTTTGCCTAGGCTTTGTAGGCTTAAAAAATTCAGAGGCAGCTTTATAAACTAGCATATTTCACCAGTGAATCTTGGTGAATCTGCCCTCCCAAGGAGGGCAAACAAAAAAATGAAAACCACTCCAAGTTTCCTGCTTCCTTGGTCTCAGTACAACTGTCTTTAACTGAAATCACTAATTTTCCACAGATGTCCTTTCTGGGCTGTTTCACAGACTCAGTACACTAAGCACTGTTGAGGGATGGTGTGAGTATAGCTTACTCAGCAAATTTTTTTCCATCCAGAAAATCATTAGCTTGGATGCTTGTCCCTGGAGTGGCCTGGGTTCTACTGTCCTTGCAGTGGCCTCAGAGACAAAAGAAAAGGAAGGGTAAGGAAGGGAGAGGAAATATATAAAAAGGCACACAGAAAGAAGAGAGACTCAAAACATTCCTTAAGATTCTTCTATTCAACTCCTCAATTCTATTACTGGGTATATACCCTAAGAATTGAAAACAGATACTGAAAAAAGTACTTCAACACAAATGCTGATGGCATCTTGTTCACAACAGGCAATGGTGGAAACAAGCCAACTGTCCATAAGGAAGGAAGAGATAAACAAAGCTGGTACATCCATAATATTGAATATTATTCAGTCATAAAAAGGAATGAAGTATTGATATGTGTTATAATATAAATGAACCTTGAAAATATTATCCTAAATTAAATGAAGTATTCACAAAAGGCTACCTATTATATGATTGCATTTGGAATACAGTGCCCAACCCTCAAGTTCCCCTTACTGTCTTTTGTACAATAAATTCTCATGTCAGAGTAAAAACCAAAGAGCAGCTTTCCTGTCTGCCTATGACTATACAGATGCCTCTTTCACTGTCTCCATTTCCTAATGAATCTGTTCTTTTAAAATAAAAAATAGGGGCCTCCCTGATGGTGCAAGGGGTTAAGATGCAACCTATGAAGCTAACTGCAGTCACTGCAGCACGAGTTCAATCCCTGTCAGGGAGCTACCCACATGGCGCAGCAGACCTCTCCTGCCTCGCTCACTCCTCCCCTCAGCAGTGTATTTCAGTCAATCTGTCTGTTCTGTTCTCCACTCTGTCTCTGGTGGATCCTATCACTGCCCACACCTCTGGCCTGTACCCCCGTTTTTCTGTGCATAAATAAATAAATCTTTAAAAAAATAATTAAGATAATTAAAAACCAAAGACTTGCATGTTCTCTGTCACCTGTCTGACTCCGTCTTAGCCCGTGCTCCCTCTTACTCTGCTGCAATCACTCTGGCTCCCTAGACATTCCTTGAACACCCTAGGCAGTTTCCATTTTCAGACCTTTTCACTTTCTGTCCCTTCTGCCTAGAGGAGGATGGCTCATTTTTTCACATCCTTGTGGTCACCATTTATTTTTGACTACTTTATTTGAACTCAAGCTCTCTTTTTATCCCTGGCACATTCTGTCTCCTTTTCCCCAAAGCACTTATCATAATCTAAGAAATTTCATGCTTTATTTGTTTATTCAGTTCACTATCTGTTATTATATCCTCCAGAAAAGTGTAAGATTTTTGAGGGCCAACAAGCACTGATCAGTAGCAAATACACAGTGGGATTTCAGCAGACTATTTATTGAATGAGTCAATAAATTAATGATCAATGAATATAAATCTTTGAGTGGGGAAGAAACTTTGAATGGTAAGTTTCAACCAAAGGGGAACTGTGTGTGTGGAGTGCCATGATTACAACATACTCTATTATATAATGCTCCTGTTAGAAACTAAACCCTGTCTCAATTGATACCCATTTAAACCTCTTTATTTCATCACCAAGAAAACCACAGGTAAGCTATTTATCACTTCACGTATCACTTTTTTTTAAAGTTTTTTTTTTTATTTAAACAAGAACTGGGGTACAGTCAGAGGTGCGGGAGGGTGAGAGAATTCATCAGAGCGGGGAGTAGAACAGGCAGATGGACTGAAGACACTTCTGAGCAGAGCAGCAGGTGAGGCAGGAGAGGTCTGCCACGCCATGTGGGTATCTCCCTGGCTGTCCGGGAATCAAACCAGCGCTGCAGAGAGTGTGGACAGCTTCA